GCTCCCTCTCTTGGCTCTCAGCAAAATGGAAGGTTTTCTGGTGCTGGCGCAGGGAAACAAAAGCCATTACGAACGCTCTCGTATTCTCCAATTTTGGTATCACCTCAGTCCGAACTCTTGTGGTGGGGGCAGGGTGGGCTACTGGGGAAGGGAGGGCTGTAAAGGAGGGTGAAGTTAAGAGCTGCAGCTCTGGTCTTGGTTCTCTTGTCTGTAGACACCCAAGATTTTCTCGGTAGCCAGTGAAAATGACGCTTCCACCTGGGGTTCAGCCTATTTACGGAAGGCAAAATGAATTTTGGCTGTTGAGCCTACCCTGTATCTCAGAATACGTTTTGGCAGAAATAGCCAGATCCCCGCTGGAACTGTCCTGTCGCTCCCTGGGGTGTGCAATGTAATTATTATCACAAAGCTGGAGTCGAGGAAAAAACAGTCCTGAAAGGAGTAATTACAGTTTTTTGCCAGCCTTTTGTCATTTCCAGTCTTGGCAGTGAAACATTAGGTGACCAGAAAGTTAGGAAGACTCCTCTTTGCACCATAAACTAAGGAATCAGTCTTCGACGGGGTGCCAACAGGGAACCATTGCCCGGAGCTGGCAGCCCCGCACAGGGACCCCACCACGTGCCGCTGCGGCGCAGCACTGCCCGCGCTTACGCCTGCGCCGCTGGCATCGTCCTCCGCCCCGGGCGGGCTCCCTGCTCCCACCCCGTGCCTTGTGCCCGAGACCAAAAGGCAGAATTAGTTCTCAGTTGGCCTGCAGAAGGTGTCTGGGTGCTGCTGGGAGCACGGTGCGGAGGAGCTGACAGGTTTAATACGCGCGTCGGAAGGGGCAGCTGCTGGAAGAAGAATGCCTTGCTCCAGACAGACCTGTCGACAGACACTGCTCAGTATTTCACAGCGTAGTCTTTCTTCATGGCCTTCAGCTTAATTAAGATGTTGTTGTGACTACATACTGCCTTCATTTCAGACTTCAGCATCTTCTGGCTGCATATTGCTTTGGCTTATCAGAGCCGCAAGGACAGCGAGGCAGAGTGGGAGCCCTCTCAGGCAGCCACAGATAATAACGCACAGGGAAAATTCCTGAATGAAGTGAAAAATTATTTATAATAATGGTACTCAAATAGAAGAGAAATAAGTCACTCTAAGGGTATATAAATTTTTATGATAGTGTATAAACAGCCATAGCTTGCCTTGTCTCCCATCTATCCCTGCAGAGAATGAGCGCAACATCTAGCATAAAGAAAAATATAATAAGAAAACGAAGAAATGAATGGGAAGAGCTGGAGGATTGATCACTCGGGGTATTTGTATATCCTGATGTAAAAGGTGCTGCTGACAGGTGGCCAGGTTTCTTCTGTATAAAACCATGTGTGTGCTGTCAGGGCGGCGTGAGCAGCCTTGTTTCGATTGATGAATTGCCTGCTTTCTTGATTAAACCTTCCGTCACTTAAGAAACAAAAAGCCTGTGTTTGGATGGCAGAGTGGGACATGTCAAAAAAATCTGTCTGCTCTACCTTTGTGCAGATGTTGGGCACAGACTGTAACATGTATTATTAAAATGAATGTGGCATTTACTGTGCATTATTTCTTTCCTGGGAGAAAGGACCTGTAAATTATATGCTAATAATAAGCTTTAACCCTTTCAGAAGCCAAGAGATTTAGGAGTGCCAGTGCTCCTGCAGGCCTCACTAATTGGATGGGCTTGAATACCACTGTAGCATGCTCTGAAGTTAAAAACCTGCCGTTCAGACCAGTATGCTGACGCCCCTTGGGGATCTTGCCTCCATAAGTTTTCTGCTGTGTAAGTGCCACTGAAACGTAAACCTTTCGAATTACGAACTCTTCCATTGAAAGCCCCCTTCAGATTCTTATTACGGGCGAAAGCTGTCTCCTGCCTGGGGACGAGGCCGGCAGCGGAGAGGTTGCAGAGCCAGCCATGCACGACCTCCTCCGCAGGGGAGGCGGCGCTCTGCCCTGGAAGCCGCAGAGCCTCCCCGCACCAGCTCCAACCCTTGATTTCACTTTCAGAATCGCTTCAACCTGCCAGTGTGAGACGTGCTCAACCGACTCGTCTCAGGAAAAGGGTTAGGGGTGGAAAACAGTCTTAACACACCTTGCAGAGCACATGGCAGGATGTCGCGCTGGAAACTGGTGACTGAGTTTGCAAAATAAGATTTTTATGGTCTGAGCGGTGGTTTCTGGGAAACGGCGGGCTGGTCCCAGCTGCTTGCTTCCCCACAGCGTGGGCTTTCTCTGCCGAAGTCAGGTGGGCAAAGCCATCGCTGGCTCTGGCGGGTGACCTGGCACGCTGCTGGGTAGGGTTGTCTTTTTTGGTTTTTTTTTTTTTTTTTTTTCCTGAAATTTTACTGTAGCCATCTTCCGAGTCCCGTGGCAG